GAGAAGGCCGAAATCCAACGCTGTGGAGTTGGTGCTAACTCACAGTGACCTGAGAGGGCAGAATAGATTTACCAAAAGTGGTAACTCTTTCTGAAGCAGCCAGCCTCATTCTTCCCTGAAGGGCAGCTGGTGGCTTTGAACAGGAGCTATGTCTATGCGCTGGGCATTAGTCACTGTGCCACCCAGGTGCCTTCAAGAACGCATACGTCATGGAAATACAACTGTTTTATTTATAAGGCTCCCATTGCTCTCACCAGTTGCATTTAAGATGATTGTCTTCAAATACATATCGGACATAGGACCACGACTTTGAATCATAATGCCATAAAGCATTCCTTACTTTTTAAAAAAAACCCCACAAAAATATATCAAGGCTGTTTGGTGGCATTTTCAGGTAAGTGTTGGGCTGTTGACCTCAAGACTGGCAGTTCAAATCCACCGACGTCTCCGAGAGAGAAAGGTGAGGTTGGCGGCACCTGTAACAACTGACAACTTCAGAAACCCCATAGAGGGTCACCATGACTTGCTGGCAGGCGTTAGAACAGGGTAGGCTTTAGAACATGTCCCATGCTCGGTTCAGCTGCATCCGTCCGAAGAAAAAGGGCCAGGCGCACAAATCCTCCTTCTGATAAAAAGTAGCTTATGACTCTGGACACTCACTGCCATTGAGTCAATTCCAACTCATGGAGAGCCCATAGGACAAGGTAGCACTGTACTGTGTGGGTTTTTGCGACTATAATTCTTTACAGAAGTAGAAGGCCCATCATTCTCCCAAGGAGTGACTGGTGGTTTCGAACGGCTGACTTTGAGGTTAGCAGCTTAACAAGAACCACTATGCCCACCAGGGCTCTTCATAAACCTGGAAGCCACCAAACCTACTCCACCCAATGCTGTGGATGAGAGCTGGCCCACGGGCTTTCCGAGGCCGAAACCTTTAGGGAAGCAGACTGCTTCTTCTCTCTTCCGTGCAGCAGCTGCTGGGCTGGAAGCCCTGACCTTCATTAACAGCAGAATGCTGAACCCACTGCTCCACCACCATGCCCAGCCTTTTGTTGCACTAAAGTAAGGCTACTAGGCATATTACACTGCTTTTGATTGCTTGGCAAAACTTTCCATAACTTCTCCAGTAATTCTTTCAGTAATTAAGCCACAGCATTGCTTGGTCACAATCATCACTTTCCTCAGAGCAGAGCCGCTCACAGGCTCCATTATTCTCATTTTGTCCTGGAAAACTACTCGGCTCGCTGGCTGATCTGTAGCCTCGCGCGTTTCCAAGGGCTGGTGACATTTTACTTCTTTTCTGATTGGCTCTGTTATCTCCACTTCATTTTCCCCGGGTGGTGCGAGTGGTGTGTGATTGGCTACTGACCTCGGTGTTAGCATCTTGCGCCCACCGGGCAGCACCGTGGAAGAAAGACCTGGCAACCACTTCTGGGAGGTTAGACTCACTGTTACGGAGTCGCTGCTGACTCACAGCAGCCCTATAGGACAAGGTCGAACTCCTCCTGTGAGTTTCTGAGAATGTAACTCTTTATGGGGGTAGAGAGCCCTCTCTTTCTCCTGAGGAGCCACTGTGCTTTGAACAGCTGATCTTGCAGTTCACGGCTCGCCCTGCAGCCACTAGGCCACCGGGGCTTGCAGCCCCTAAGCCTCCTGCAACAATTGTAGACTCTGGGGTCTCCATGGGTGGGAATTGATAGCAACAAGTTTCGGGTTTTGAGTTTAGCTCTCTGTTGGGCAGGAGTTTAGGGCAGGGAGCTGTTTCATTGCTTTCACACACTCTAGAAAGCAAGAAAAGGCAAGCATGATAAGTGAATTATATGCCAATAAAACAGGGTATTAGGAAGTGTTTCTTACATGGACCAAATCAGAGCCACACTCACTGACGGGTTGTTTCCGACCCACGGAGACCCTATAGAGATCCACAGAGACCCCTTCGGATTTCTGAGACTGTGAAAGAGTCAACAGCCTCATCTTTCTCTGGTGGAGTGACTGGTGGGTTCGAACTACTGACCTTGTGGTTAGCCACTCAGAAAGCACTCAAACTCAAAACCAGAGTCACTGTCATGGAGTCAATTCTGACTCATAGCAGCAGAATGGCAAAATATGTACTATATACTGACATTTGACTAAACTGATAGTAAATCGGAACCTGTCTGTACCTGTTCCACTTACCTGTACCTGTGTCTGTCCCAATTTGCCCACACTATGGATTCAGTTTTAGACATTGATGGAGTTGGCAAGCCCAGGAACTGTTTGCAGTCCAACTCCAATCAGGTGTTGTTTTACATACTGGACACTAGAGGGCAGGCCATTAAAACGTTCGCTGTAAAAGAACTGCCAAAGCTAATCATGGGTGACGTGAGTCAACTGGACAGCAGCGAGCTTTGTTTTTGGTGGGTCCTGACCACTTTTCTCCAGGTTTAAGAGGCTGCTTTCTGATCGGCTTGCTCCCACACAGAAGGGGAATACGCATCCAGGGAAGAGCAACAAGACATCTCATTTGCGTGTGACCGCCCCTCTACCCACGCCTGTATTCACATCCCAGGAAAGCCCTGGATGAGCCAGCAGTCTGCCTTCCCGTGGGTGTGAGTTCCTACAAGGAACGGATAAATTGCCCTGGCCGGTGCACGTGCTGAGGAGTTGGTTTGGCTTGCCCGGGAATGACATTACCAGCCACTCTCTCACGGGTGCAGGCTTAAATGCGAGATCCACTCAGCAGAACACTTCGAGGAAACCAAACCCAAACCAAACCTGTTGCGCTGGGGAGATTCTGGCCGCTGGTGTTCCGAGTTCAGCTGCTCGCAGGTTTCCAGGCTGTGATTCTTCAGAACCGGAATGCCAGGTCTTTCTTCCGAGGCACCTTTGGTACGGTCCGACTCTCAGCTGGTTACTAGTTGCCCACTTCACCAGTTGAGCCACCGGGGACTCCCGCTCCCAAGGGAGCTGTATTAACACCTCAAATCCAAACGGTCAGTTTATAAGCTCGACTTCTGAAGCCAACTCTCACTGCCAGGGCGCCATTTGGATGCCTGGCTACCCCATAGGGCAGGGCTACTCTTGATGGGAGTAGAAAGCCTCCTCATTCTCCCAGGGAGTGGTGGGTGGTTTTGAACTGCTGACCTTGCGGTTAACAGCCCACTGCATACCTCACTATGCCAAGAGCTCCTTTCACCTTGGTGAAAAACGCCTCGAGGATTTTTTTTTTTAAAGGAAGGGTTCAAATGAATCTAAAGATGGCTTTGGGCCTTACCCAGAGTTCAGCTTCCCTTCCGGGAGCCCAGCCCCCATGCCCAAACACACTTCTCGTCGTCTTGATCATCGTCCTGTGTGTCCCAGTGGTTACAAGTTTGGCTGCTAACTGCAAAGCCAACAGTTCCAAACAACCAACCACTCTCAGGAGAAAGATGCGGCAGGGACAGCTCCACCCTCCCCTAGAGAGTTGCCATGAGCCGGAACTGCCTTGATGACAGAATTAGGTGTGATCAGAAGGCTAAGACCTCAAGGACTCCTCCCACCCAGTTCTGCACCACTGTCTCCCACCTCTTGAAGAATTGTATGTGCAAACATACGTTTTCATCCCTCCTCCTTCCTCTCAGAAACCAGGGGTTTTCAAGCGGGGATTGGGGGTGGGGGCAGGGCCCCAGCCATCTGTGTTCTTTCCCAGGTCCTTTGGGTAAATCAGCTGCAAGCTAAGGCTTGCATGCGGCTGGATTAGGGAATTCCAGAGCCAGGAGAGAAGTGAAGAAAGACGTCGTAACTCCGGGTAAGGTAGAACCAAGTTTATTAATGACATCCTTTATTACAACCACTCTCAAGTGTAAAAAATAAAGGGCGATTAATTAAAATGTAAAACTCACTTGGATTTGCTGTTTGGCCTTTCAGAGGATGAGCCAAAGGGTGGGGGCGGGGTGGGGTGGGGCTTGTCTGATTTTGAGTCCACTGGTCAGAGGGGAGCGAGTTTGCTGGAGAATGAGGTAACGCACACACAAGACACGAGCGCCAATCCGTGGGTTGGAATGTCATTGCAAAATGACAACTGTGGGGGGCGGGGGTAGAGATGACAGATCATCTGTGAGCCAGATATGAACGGATGTCTCTAACGACAAAGGCACAAACACGCACACATGCAGTCAGACACGCATCGGACGGTGGTCATTCTTAAGCGTTCTTGTCCCTTCTCTGTGGTCATTCTTAAGCGTTCTTGTCCCTTCTCTGAACAGACGGGCGGGCTCAGCAGCCACAGCCGCAGATGCACCATGGGGCTGAAACAGGAAACTGCGTTCAATTCCCACCAAGTATGTTAGCTAGCTGCCCCGTTATGTGTTGGCCGAAGTGTCACGGCTGTCAAACATGCCTGTGGTTTCCCCAGCAGACCAAGGGGCATATCTGTTCTCCGGGAGAGCGGCTGCCAGTGGGCAGGTTCCCAGGCACCTGGTGCATCAAAGCCAGGGGGCAAACCACATCCCTCCCAGCTGGTATGGGGGCAGGGGCAGCAGCACCAGTGCCAAGTAGGTGGGCCCCCACTTGTTGTCACAGGACTCCTGCCCCCATTTCATGCTCTCCCCTGCCAGGCATTTGTGCTTTGTTACCATGCTGTTAACTGGAGCCCTGGTGGCTCAGTGGTTTAGCACTCAGCTGGGACTTGAAAGGCCAGCCATTTGAACCTGCTCCGTGCGCGGGAGATGTGGCAGTCTGCTTGGGTCAGGACAGCCCCAGGAACCCTCGGGGGACAGTTCCTCTTCTGTCCTGTAAGATCACTGAGTTGGAATTGGCTGGATAACAATGGGACTTGATCTTATTTATTGTACTATTTTGATGTTTAGTGTGCAGTCATAAGAGAGCAGCTGAAGCTCTGACCACCCACTGTTGTCTCTTCGGAATAAAAGCAAACGGAAACCGGAAAAGCAATGAGAAGGTTTTGGTCATGTCAACACTGTTTCGCAATTGGGTTTAATACCGCTCAGAAAGCAAGGGTATGTGTGTGTGTGCGCGTGTGCAGAAGGGACCACGAAAAAGGACACTGTCACAAGTGTTGCACCTGTGGAAGCACCTGTGAAGATGACAACAGCCTCCCAATGCCAGGGCTCCATGAAAGCCATGCTGACCAATGCCAGGGCTCCATGAAAGCATGCTGACCAATGCCAGGGCTCGATGGCCGCAGGCCCCGCGGCAGGAACAGGGGTTGGCTGATTCGGATGCACAGGTCATGCAGGTAAGAGCTCACAAAAGAACGATGAAAACTCCAGCTGAATTTTTGAGAAAAGGAATAAAAAGACTTAAAAGAAAATATGATTGTGGCTTTCACCTTTGTGAGACAAAAAACAACAACCAAAAAAACGAATAATAAGCCCAATGCAGCGTCTTCGAGAGTTTCCAAAGAGCTCGACAACTGATGTGGAGGTGGTGGTGGTGAGGAGCAGGGGGCACTTCACTAAGATCTTTTCTTCATTAACCTCATATTTTTCTCCTTGGAGATCCCTGATCAATAATGCTCAGGCCCACCGGGGAAACAGTCTTTCCTGCTGAAATGCAGCACTGTGGAGTCTTTCAAGGCCCTGGCGGGTAAACCCACAACTCCGCTCCTGAGGAGACCCTGCAGCCTAGACCATGTTGCCCTCACACGTCAACCCAGAGTGCAAGCACCACGGAACTGGGACCACGCTGTTTCCTTCGCGAGGTGATCCTTGTAACAGAAATATGCAAGGGAGGGGTACCCCAACACGCTGTCCTCCCAGGGGTGGGGAGCAGCATTTTAGAAAGATGCACCTCGAGGCTTTAGAACAAAAGGCAGTCCGTCAGATCAATTTGAAGCACAAAACCACAAGCACAGCCCTCCAGTTACCGAAGTAGAGAACGCAATGGCATTGTCCACAGATTCAAGAGTATTCTGTTTCGATTTAAGTAGATCTGGGCCCCTCCTCCCATTTTTTATCTGTTTGTTTGGTTTTGGTAAGTGTCCAGCCAGCCATCAATCCATGGCCACAGTAGAGATTCACGGCGTAAGAACTTTCATACTGGTTCTTAAAAAAATTCCGTCAAGTGAGCAGCATGTCACAGTTTTACTCCCCCTCCCTCCCAACAAGCACGTTCTTGGCAGTTCCCAGATGGGGTTGAAGGGTGCCTTGGCGACTGGGGTCTGTGCAGCGTGGACACAGTCCGGCACGTTGGGCAGGGTCAGGAAGGCGTGGATCTGTCCAGTGTCTGGCAGCAGCTGTTCCGGGGGCTCTACCAGCTCGCCCTGACAGCCTCGATATCACTAACCAAATTCTGGGCCAGGCATATCCCAAAAATCTGAAAAACGAAGGGGATGAGAATCAGACAATGAAGCTCTAATGCCCTTAGGCTGTTCCTCGGCTACTAGGTGCTCTTCTTCGGTTTTGTGTTCTAAACGGATATACCATTGACCGTAAAATGCCCCCATTTAAAGTATACAATTGAAGATAGTCACCAAAATGTACAATGTTCAACACTAATCCAGAATCCAGAAAACCATTAAAAAGCGAGCAAACACAAACCAAACTCGCTGCCGTTTAGTGGCTTCCAACTCGGACGTGGGTCTACACCCATAAGGAGTTGCAGTCTCAGAAACTTACAGTAGCAGTTCTGGGCTGCCCCCCAGGGTGTCCCTGAGCATGTCATCAGCCCACAGAGCAGCCCCATCATCCCATGCCCACTTCCCTGAAGCCCCTGGCAACCATCAATCTACTTGTGTCTTTATAGACTTGCCTATTCAAAGACATTTCCTATCAATGAATGAAACAATCTGTGGTCTTTTACGTAGCATATGTCCGTTTTGTTCTTTCTATGGCGGAATAAGAAATCCTCTCGATTGCAGGCTGCACCACATCTCGTACATCTTGTTTACCCCGTTTTCAGTTGATGGACAATTCAGGTTGCTTCCACTTTGTAGCTGGTTTGAATGCTGCTGCTACGGACATTCACCTGGACGTTTTTATGTGCACGTATGGTTTCAGTACTTTAGGGGTATACCTCGGAGTAGAACTGCTAGGTCTCATCATAACTTGAAGTCCAGCTTTTAGAGGCCTTCCGAAACTGTTTCCACAGCAGCTGCACTGTTTTATATTGCAACCAATGAAGTATGAGGGTTCCAATTTGTCCATATGCTTATCAACACAACAACAACAACAAACTTCATTGCAACCCTAGCCATCCTAGTGGGTATAAAAGGAGCAATAGTGGCACTGTGGGTTAGACATTGGGCTGCCAACCCCAAGGTCAGCAGCTCAAACCTCCCAGGGAATCTGCAAGAGGTAGATGAAGCTCCCTGCGTCTATAAAGGCTTATGGCAGCGCTTCTCCACCTTCCTACTGCCGTGACCCTTTCCTACACTTCCTCATGCGTGGTGACCCCCCCCATAACATTAGTCTCGTTGCTACTTCATAACTGTCATTTTGCTACTGTTATATGAGAATGTAAATATCTCATATGCAGGATGTGTTTTCATAGTTTCAAATTGAACATAATTAAAGCATTGTAATTAATCACAAAACAATATGTAATTATATATTGTGAAACAATTCTTTCTAATTACAAATACCATATATACTCATGTATAAACCGAGTTTTTCAGCACATTTTTTTTTTTCAGCACATTTTTTAAAGGCAGTTTTTGTGGTAAAATTGGGTGCGTTGGCTGATATTTGGGTCAGCTTATACTTGAGTATATACGGTAAATGAAATTTTGTCTTGAAGCGTGGTGTAGCATGGGTAACAGTCTTCACACTGGTACTCGTGGGCGTATTTCCATGTGGGCAGACCCGCCTGGGGACGGACAGAGAAGCGGTGCCTCAGTTTCTAAGACCATCGGAAATAGGTGGTTTTTGATGGTCTTAGGTGACCCCCAAGGGGGTCGTGACCCACAGGTTGAGAACCGCTGGCTGTAGTCTTAGAAAGTCTACACAGGGTCACCAGGAGCTGGAATCCGCTTGATGACAGTGAGTTCTACTCTTTGAGGTTGAGGCGACATCAAGTGGCATCTCCTTATGGGCTTGAAGTGAGTGTCCCTGTGGCTGATAATGCTGAGCATCTTTCCATGTGCTTTCTAGCCAAATGTTTATCTTCTTTGGTGAAACGCCTATTCAAATCCTTTGGCCATGTTAACCACTGGGTTGTCTTCTTACTATGGAGTTATGAAAGTTTTGCCTGCATGCTGGATACCAGAGCCTTAACATGTAAGTAATTTGCAAATATCCTCTCCTGGTCTTTTTGTTGTCCTTTTACTTTATTGATGTGGTGGCCTTGAACATGGTAATTCTGATGAAGTCCAACGACCTAGCTTTCCATTGGTGGTTTGTGGTTTGGGTGTCGTAGCTCAGAAACCACTGTCTAAATCGAGGTTAGGAAGATCCACATTTATGTGTTCTCCTAAGAATTTTTAGAGCTTTAGCTCTTGCACTAAGGTCTTTGATCATTTTGAATTTATTTTTTGTGGCAAAATATGTATAAAAAACCACTCCTGTTGATGACTAACGAACAGTTGTCTCTGAGAATCTGCCTAACCCAGAGAGTTCCCAGAAGCAGTGTCCTAACAGGATTTGCTGTAGCTGACTTATTTCACATATGTCTTCAAGGGCCAGCCTTGTATGTGGGGACAGATACAAGGACTTCACTTCTCTTTATGGATCTGTAATATCGCACTGCATGCGTAGGCCGCATGTGGGTTCTCGCTACCGTCTGGCTATTGCGACAAGGAAGGCGCTGGTGTCTGAGTCCCTGCTCAGGCCTTGAGGCATCCTGCTTATGGCTGCTCTCTTTAACTTGGTGAAGGCTCAGCCAAATTCGTTGCCACAGCAACGGCACCGGTTTACATTCTTGTTGGAAATGGATAAAGGCCCGAATCCTCTTTTCCAATACTTGTTTGTGCAGTGGGTGGTGTTTACAAGAACTGTGGCTTTAATGGCTGCGAAATGGTTAATTTTCTTATCTGGTACCAAGTTGGGATCCAAATCCATTTTTCTCCATATGAATACCCAGTTGCTGCCATTGGTTGAAAATACTATTCTTTCCCCAGGGAAACCATCAGGGCACTCTGGTCAAAGATATCTGACTCTGGCTATAAGGGTTTATTTCAACTCCATTCCATTGATCGATGTGTCTAACCCTATGCCAGCATCAAACTGTCTTTTATTGTGATTATTGTAAATTAGTTGGAGGGGACGTCTTACATTTTGGATCATCAACTTTGTATTCAACAGTTTAAAGTACTAGTCAACACCCCCAGGAGTTTGCCTTTCACCTGCTCCTTGGTAACCTGCTCCCTCTAGTACAGCTGTTCTCAACTTTCACAGGGGTCGCCTGATTCATAACAGTAGGAACATGACAGTGATGACGTAGCAGCAAACATAATGTTATGGTTGGTGGGTCACCACAACAAGAGGAACTGTATGAAAGAGTGGCGGTATTAGGAAGGTTGAGAACCACTGCTCTAGTGGGTTACTATCATCCATTACAGCAAAGTGAACACCCATCTCCTGTCTGGTCCACTACCTTCTCTCTCCTCCCTCAGCAGCCAACTATCTTGATGCCAGAGCTTTGAGTAGTCAGGAGGTATGACTGCTCTAAATTTGTTCTTTCCCAATTTGCTTTAGCTATTTGGGTTGTTTGCATTTCCATATGAATTTTGGGATCACGTTGCCCAGTTTTGTGAAAAAGTTAAGAAAAGGCCATCGACCTGCAGTTGATTTTGATTCATCATGACCTCACTGGACAGAGTCCAACTGCCCTAGCCCGCGGGTTTCCAAAGCTGTAACCCATGCAGAAGCAGACTGCCACATCGTTCTCCCCTGCAGAGGGCGCTGCCTCCATGAGCAGCTGAGCTTAAGTAAGTGACTGTGCCGCCAGGGGTGTTTTTCACCCTTATTCCCACAAAAAACAAGGCGATTGACATTTTGATAGATTGCATCGAATCAGTAGGTCCTTTTGAAGATTATGACCATCTGAACAACACAGTCTTCCAATCTGTGAACAACAGGAGGTCTTCCCAGTCCTGAAGTTGTCTTTCGCTTCTTCCCACTACCACGCTCCATGTTTGACCCTCCAGGGAAGTGCACGCTTGAATAGCATGAAAGTCTAGCTCTTGGGGTGGCCCAGGAGGGAAAGTGGGTGCTCCCTCTCCTCAAGAGCACTTGAACAAGGTGGCCCAGAGAGCGAAACGGACAGAGCATCACTCTTAAAATCCTGAAACACACCTTAAGCTCATCACCAAGACCTAGGTCTGACCATTTGTGCTTGGCCCATCAGTCACAACGCAGTCTTCTGCAGCTCCTGGCAACGCTGAATGTCCACAGGCAACTACAGACCCACTCGATTGTCCATCTTCCCAGGGGACAAAGGTTTCCACAAGAATTTTAGCACACTAGTGTCTGCAGTTGCACCACGGTGAATTGAGTGTTGGGTCAGCTCTCCCAGCCCTGGGGGGCAGGGGTGTGTGTGTTAAACTGTGGCATTCAGGTGCACTATCAAGGTTCCTGTGCCCGTGAGGGCTTCCTCAGGAGTCATCATCTCCCTTCTCTTTACGTCTCTGGGTGGAAGTGGTTTGTGTTTGAGAGCTATCCGAAAGGGCAGTGTCCATGACAGGGAAGAACACCCCGTGGAGCAGCTCTGTGCTCCAAGCCTATGGAGTTGTCATCTGTTGAAACAGACACGCACAGCAGTGGTTTTTGTTTGCTGGCTTGTTTGTAAAGCCGGTAACAAGTAGGTGAGAACAGCAGCAGCCAAACAACCCCGTGGGGCACTTGCACAGTGTAGCACGAGGTGTCCCCACGCTGAAATTAGCCCGGCACAGCACCGGTGTTTCTTTCCCCCCTCCTGTCTTACCTGCAGCAAGGCAATGCCTATGAAAATACCGGCTACAATGGTCAAATTGTCTTGCAGCCACTTCTCAAACTGGGGCACGCAGCCTTTCGTGTAGATCACGATCTGCTGGTCCACTTCCTGTGGGAGGGAGAGGAGAGCGAGCGCAGGGTCACGGAGCTGCCACGGCGCCCTGCACAGGCCAAAGCCCTTCCAAACCCCCGCTGTGCCACGTGAGAAAACGAGACTGCACTTACGGGTTTTTGCCTGGCATCATAACCACACTGAGTGTTGATGACGTCCTCCTGGTGGAGAGAGAAGACAGCAGAGTGACACTCACTCTTGTAAGACGGACATCCCCCACCGGGGCACAGCAGGAGACCCCAGAAGGCTCAGCCATCAAATGTGTCTGACTTGAGCAGAGACAGGGCACAGGCGCCTGGTAAGCACGTCCTACGGATCGTTTCAAGGAACCAGCATAGAACTCATCTTAGGTATATACACACATTTAAATTCCACTTTACAAATGGGGAAAACCCAGGCTCCGGGCATATCAGAAAATGTAGCAAAGTCCATTCTAAGGGATTCAAAGTTAATAACCGCAAGAAGCACCTGGGGGTTAGGGAACTGGAAGCAGACGGAAACCACGCTTAAAGGGCCCCAGGCTGTCTTCAGGACCCTGCAGCAGCACCACGCTGAGTGAGTGCGGGGACGTCACCTTCTAATCCCCTAACGCTCTCTCTTCAGACATGCTGATTTTCAATGAGCATTACGCTGAGTTAAAAACAAAACCATGTCCTGGCCACCTCACACATGAAGAGCTTGAAGCTTCAGAGGGTCTGGTCAGAAGCATGGGTTCCAGCGGCTTACGTGTTGGGCTGCTTACGGCAAGGTCAGCAGTTTGAAACCACGAGCTGCTCCGTGGGAGAACGATGGAACTTTCTGCTCCCATAAAGTTTCCGTCTCAGAAACCCACGGGGGCACCTCTCTCGTGTCCCACAGACTGCTATGCGTGGAAACGGACTTGACGGCAGTGAGTTTCGGCTTGTGTCTTGTGGCCCTGGAGTAGATTGATTACTTTAGGACAGGGGTGGGGACATTCGGCCCGCAGGCCACGTATGGCCTGTGAAGTCTTTGGAGCAATGTGGCCACGGCACTTTTGTTGGTGGTGGTGTTCCGCGCAGTTGAGTAGGCTCCAACTCATAGCGACCTCACGTGCAACAGAACAAAACGCCGCTCCGTCCTCCCCCATCCGCACAGTTACTCTGATGCTTGGGCCCCGCTGTGACAGCCACTGTGTCAATCCCCCTTGTGGAGGATCTTCCTCTTTTTACGCGTCTCTTTCCTTTACCAGCATGATGACCTTCTCCCGGGACTGGTCTCTCCTGACGACATGTCCCAAGTACACGACGCAGATCACCACCCCTGCCTCTAGGAAGCACTCTGGCTGTGCTTCTTCCAAGACACAGCGGTTTGTCCTTTCAGTAGTCTCTGCCAGCGCCGTAATTCAAGTGCACCAATTCTTCTTTGGTCGTCCTTATTCCATGTCCCACTTTCACATACGTACCAGGCAACTGAAATGACTATGGCTCGAGTCAGGCGCACCTTCATCCTCAGAGTAAAATCTTTGCTTTTCAACACTCTAAAGAGGCCTTGTGCAGCAGACGGGCCCAGTGCAAGGGAGGCATCCTTTGACCTCTTGACGGTGGCTTCCTTGAGCCATCCTATCATAGGCGAGTTCATTAATTGTCTGACCAGTAGCCCATGAAGAATGCTATAAATATCCCAATGGCCCAGAGCAGAAAACGGTTCCCTACCCCTGCTGTGGGAGTGTAGGAATGAGCAGTCTCTGGCCAGGGGGCTGCAGTTTGTGGCGGGATAGTGCCTTGTAATGGTTTCCAGAATGCTTCTTATTGGATGCTAACGCAGGGCAGGAATTGGACACAAGGAGGACAACTCACTCAATGCCGGCTGGCCAGGGGCATGCCTGCCTAAGGAGGCACTGTGGACTGCTGGGAACAGCCCTGCCATCCATCCTCCTCAGACAGACCCAAGGAGAGCCGGCAGCTTGCTAGTCAGAAAGGTTGACTCTCCTCAAGATCTGGCCAGGCCTCAGCACCAGGCATCCCGCTTCTCAGTGATTCCCCATCTCTTCTTTCAGGCCAGGAGAAACATCAGCTGGCAGTGGAGGCCTACCGAGAAGGTCTGCTTTTCCACCTCAAGACCACGGCCCTTCCAAAGAGTCCCACATCCTCTATCTTGCAGGAAGCACACTGTAACTCAGCTCATCAGCATCCACTTGGCACTTGAGGGTGTCCTGGGGAGGCAACTGGGGACAAAAGATCCGAGAGAGGCCACAAAGTCCCCAAAGGGCTGCAGTACAAGAGGGTTCAGGGCCAAGTTCAGGAGCAGCTTCTTGACATCTGTCATCCTAATACCCAATTCTGGTGTTCAACATCCAACAAGGCAGCTACTTCTTATGCTAGTCCAGGGACCAGACACATGATTTGACTGGAATACAAAGTGGCAGTAAAGGAGTGGTTTATGGGTAGGTTTTGTCTTTTTCTCTGGAAAGGAAAAAAATTGTCCTGGGACCCCTGTGGGCGAGGTGGGGCTGCTAAGCACAAGTGGCCGTGGTTTTCCTGTGGCCTTCCTCCTTGGGCCCTATCTTGTCTCAAACTCTCCTTCTACTCCTAATATTTTTCTTGGGACTACACCAGCAAGCAAAGGGTTACCAACCCCAAACCACTAGAGAAGGGACTGACATAGGAGCCCTTCCTGGAGGTGCAGAAGGGGTAATGTAGCTAATATAAGCAGGCTGCCGGGTTTGGAGCTCAGCTCCATCGCCTGCTAGCAGCAGGAGCCTGAGAAAGCGCCTTCAACCCTGTGTGCCTCGGTTTCTTCGCCCGTAGAAGAAGGTTATGGTGGTATGTGCCCGTAAGAATGTTCAGAGTCGAAATGAGCCAACGTGCATCAAGGCTTAGAACAGGAACGGGCGCCCACGGCTAAATGACTGTTAGCGACGATTTCACCTACGGGGGAGATATGAGCGCGATTCCCGCTTCAGGAGCTACAATTAGGCTGCAGCAGGCAAAACAGGTTTCAGGAAACACCCCCTGCCAAAGCCCACTGGCGACGGGGTGCCCGGCGCAGGCCAACGGTTGGCTGGCATTGGCTTACCGCGGGGTCTTTAGTGCAGCAGGAGAATGGCACGCCGCATCGCTCTCGACTTGCATTGGAATCTGTGCAATTGAAGTAAATATTTAGGTTCCAATCATCAGCTCCGAAAGCCCCACAGCACTGCCACTAGAGCAAACAGGAGAGAATTAGAACGCCTCGGCGTGGAGGCGACCGGGCGCCTATGTTCACCCCCGCCAGCACGACGCCCCGCTTCTGCCAGCTCCTACCGTCGCTTCCCTCTCAGAAGTGATTTTTAAGCCAAAGGGAACTGAAAGGGGCCTCCGTCAAAGCTTCCAAAGCCATGAGAGCCAAAGGGCTGTCTGATTTCCACAACCCTCAAGAAGGGTGCAGGCCCTGTGCCCCAGGTGTTAGGGGCAGGAAGGGCAGAGGAGGAGCTGCCTGGCTGGGTGCGGCCAGAACCAGAGCTGTGGGGTGTGGGCACACAGAGGACAATTCTAGAAGGACAAACAAGGCCGGTGTCACTGCTGTGCCTGGTAGCTTCTGGGGGAGACCACCGGCCTCGTGGGATACCTGGGAGCTCCGTGTCCATCTCTGCATTTGACCAGGAATGTTAGAGGGTTCGCGGACGCATAACAAACCACAGTTTGATAAGTTCTGAAGTAGGCCCACGTTGTGGCGCAGTGTCACAATCAAGACAGCGGGCCTGCCCAGGACCCCAAGCATTCTAGAGACAAGCTTCTCATAATACAGCCACTTCAACCCTTCCCACTTTCAAACCAAATGTTTCCGCACACAAGCATTCATACTTCTGAAGGGAAGACTAAGCTACCTAATTAAAATATTAGAAGAGAGTTCAAGTCAACTGGCACCCAGGGCCTCGCATGCCTCCTTCCTCACTGAACTACCCAACTGAACTCTGACTTAAACACGTATCAGGCTTCGAGAACTTTCAAAGGTCTCCAGGCCAACAGCTTCTTCAAAACATTAAAGTTCAAGACAGGAAAATAAAATCACATGTAACAATGATATTTCCATATAAAGCAGGCTGCATTTCAAGAGACAGGGTAGACGCATGCTCTCCACACTGCCGACCCTCCCAAGGGCTGGGGCAGTGAGTCCGAGGCCGGCCGAGGGCGCTCCTTCGGCGTGGTCGTGCAGTGTAGGCAGGAGTGAGGCTTGGTGCATGTTTGTGTGGGGAGGGGGTGGGGACAGGGTTTGTGATCCTGCATCCATTATGATCTAAACAAACCCCAGTAAGGGCTGCTGAGGAGATGCGACAGGGCTTAAGTTCACCCCTGAGATACAACTGGCTCCACATCACTTGTTGCCATCGCTACACAAACCCACGCACACGGCACAGCATCGTCTGAGGGTCTAACGAGGGTGGGTGGCCTCCCTCACAGCATGTAGATGCAACCATTTCCTCCGGCTATCCAAGGAAACCCCAGCTCGTTCTGTAAAGTGTCCAACAGACCCAAGGGCCAGAGGTCTGCTGGGGCCCTGCTGGTCTACAGAAAGCCAACTTGTCTGCAGCCTGCTCGGCTACGGTCCTGTCAATGTCCATGTCTGCCCAGGATATGCAAATAGCAACATGCCCCTTTGCAGGGCAGACACACCTTATGCCTGATGTGAACCTGTGGATATCTCATTAGAATAACACACTAACCCCCTAAGTTACAGCCAACAAACAGGTACCACCGAGTCCATTCCGACTCCAGTGAACCTATGACTATCGTACTAGAACGGAGAGCCAGTGGGTTTTCATTGGCTGATTCATCCCCCAGCCCTCCCACCCCCAGAAAGTGGATCACCAGGTCTTTCTGCAAAGGCAGGAAGTCAGCCTCGAACCTTTGGCCAGCCACTGAGCTCGTGCACCATTTGCGGCCCATGGGTTAGATTCCTTCCTCTGAACCCACTGGCCCCGAGCTGATTCCAACTCACTGAGAATCCCCACACAGGGGTCCCAAGGCCTGACGGGAGCGGATAGCCTCATCTTTCTCCCACAGAACGACTGGCGGTTTTGAACCAGCGATCTTGTTCGTAGCAGCCCAATGTTTATTCCACAGTGGTGGTAGCTTCTGTTCTTGCCGTTTTACTTGTGGGGAAACAGGGACTTGCCCAGGGTCACTTCGTTCGAACATCTGACACCAGAATGCGTGTCTTTGGACCCTTGTTCGTGCTGTTTGGCACGGGGAGTGAAGCAGGGCATGTGCTCGTTTGCTGCTAGGCCCCGAGCAATGGCAAAGCGCCAGAGGCCACCGCACGGCTCAGAGACGGCGACGAACACTGCCGGCCCGATTCTGTCCACGCTGGAACAACGCCCCGGGGTCGGAATCGACTCAGCGGCAACCGGGCTGGCTGTTCTTTCAGCGCTTAAGACACGCTTCTGAATTTATGGCATGAGTGATGGTACTGTTTGGGTAGGAGTATTTCAGGAGCGCTCTGGAGAAATAGTTGGTAGATAACTGTACTGCTCTGAGCTGTGAAGTACGAAGGTTACCCAAGTGGTGGTGGTGGGGTCCATAGAAAAGCATGTGTGTTTAATTAGCACATAAAAGTTCCCACAGAGAGCAAGACAATGTTCTTCCAATGTCGACAGGGCAAGGCAAAGGCATGATAATCCCCTTTGGGCTCAGGAATTTTCCTCTTTGTTCCTCCAACTTCATCCAAAGTGAAATCTGGAAACTGGGGTATTCCCATTTATGGCACGAAGTCACACAGCCCAAGAGAACACGGTCGATAACATGCGAGCAAACACACCTCTGGGAAGCGCAGAGGTGGGTCCCAGTTGGCCAATGCGAAAACCGGATGTGCGTTTACTTAGGTGGGTGGGTGGGTGGGTGGGGAAACATCCTTCTAAGAAGGTTCTCAACTTACAGATACACTGAATTGACACTTACATATTCCTGGGTGAAGTCTATGAGGTTTTGCAAATCGATGTCGTCCCTGTATGCTCGGATGTTGTTGTTGATAAAAAAATAGAGCTGGTCTTTGATCCAGTCTTTGAACACAAACGCCAGCACCCCAGCCGTGAGCTCCAGGAAGAAAATGATCCCCAGGAATACAGAGAACTAAGACAAGACACAGACGGAGAACAGTTAGGCGACAGTTAGGCGGACTGATAAGACCATAGATGGCTACACGGCTCCTCTCTAAAAGCGCCTGTCATTATATTGGCTTATTACACATTTCCAAAGCAGATCATCTTAAGTTTCTAGAGATTCATTAATAAGAAATTGCACTCCCAGAAAGCGTCTTTAAAAAAAAATCATTTCATAATCACATTTTAGGGGCTCTGGTGTTCCATTTGGTAATTAACCAACAGAGCCCATAAGCAAACACGGATCACAGGAATTTCTCATTAGACCCACATTAAAGCCTAATGAATTTCTCGTGATTAATGTACTGCCAGATGCTCGAACAATGACCTGGCCCCACCCCCAGGAAGCTTTTGTAATGTGGAAAGACGGATTACCCCAATATTTTAAGACTGCTTGCCATTTGCCACTGTGGCCTTGATTCTATAGGCAATATACTGCTTTTGTGGGCCCAGCCACCTCGCTCTCTCTCCCCTTTGCACCTGCGGCACAAGGTGAAATAATGAACATGTTCCCCTTCGATGGGCGGGTCACAGAGGCTGTCAGAGGGCAGGTGACTGTGACAGGAAAATAATTTCCCCTTCTGAACATCAAATGAAGCCACGGGGCTGGGGGCTTCCTTGGGAATGCCAGCAGTGTTATTCTTCCTCTGGGAAGCACTAGGTCCAGGGACCACTTTAATAAGACCCAAACACCACCAAATGCTCAAGAAGGGGGCAAGCGAGTCGAATGCACTGCCACCTCGTCAATGCTGATTCCCAGTGACCCCCTGTGGGTTTCTGAGACTGTAACTGGTTCCGAGAATAGGAAGCCCAGTCTTTCTCCCGAGGAGCTGCTGGTGGTTTCAAACTGCTGAACCTGCGGGTCACAGCCTAACGAATAACCACTATCTTACGAGGGAGGGCTACAAACCACACGGCCACGTGAGAACTGCCAGTATGGTGGCAGACATTTCCAATCCATCAGAAATTCTCAGAAGAGGCTCACTTTAGTCAGACCAACACGCCCATCATTCTCTCCCCCTCCGCCTGACCCCACAGTCTCACCCCTTTCCAATTTGCTGAACTCGACCATGGGAAATGAGGCTACGAAGAGGGTAAAGTGCAGGTGAGCTTTTCCAGCGACAATGACAGAAAGGCTGTCACTGGCTGCAGAGAGCTGTGAAGAGTGGCCGAGGCAGCACAGGGTCAGAGTGTCTGCTGTTTCCATCGTCAGCAGGCAGACATCACACAGCTTGCCATGAGCAAGACGAATCAGGGGTGGAATGCAAAGGAAATCATGTGGTTACTTATTAAAATTAGGGAACACGGAAAGCCCCCCGCCCCAAACAACCAAACATCCGTTCACTCAGCAAACATCAACAGAACAACCCACCCACTGGGGGTCGGGCCCTGTGCTGAACGGGCTTTGCAATGCCAGGATGAGTCCGCCGATTCCCTGCCCTCAAAGAGCCCACAGTGGGTGCCATGTCCGGGGGTGGGGGGAGTGGGAGGGAGGCACATCATATCAGATGGCAGCATAAATGAGTGTTTATTTATATGCCAAGCCAGTTTTAGGAAGGTAGTACGGGGGGAAAACAAACCAAACCAAACCAAACAACCCCAGAAAACAAATAAAACCCAAACCCATTACTGTCAATTCTGACTCGTGGTGACCCCGTGTATTACAGAACTGCTGCACAGGATTGCCTTGACGCTAATCTTTACTGAAGTATATAAGCGGGCCTTTCCTTCGTGGTGCCTCTGGACAGGTTCAAGTAACCAACCTTTAAGTGAGTCGCTGAAAGGGAGTAGTGTATGATAGTTACCACACCACAGAAATGATAAATGTTATGCAGCCCGTGCACACACAAAACATAGCCATTCTACGACTTTAATTAGAGTTGCATTCTCACTTCCATAAAGATTAGCAGAGTTCATGCTTCTAGTTCCTTTGGTCAGGGTTTGGTGTAATGTTCCATAATGCAGATCTCAAAGACCGAATTTCAAATTCAAGGTGTTTCATTGCCCCGAACCCTGTCACCTAATTCCCTCTATTTCCAAAGGTTCTGAGATTGATTCTCAGGTCTCAATCAAGAAGAAAACGCTTTCTTTATTTCCTCGGGTCTCAATCAAGAAGAAAACGCTTTCTTTATTTCAGTGTCTTAGCCCTTGCTTTCCCTTCACCACTGCTAGTTATTACATCAGAGAATCAAGGATGAACGGAGCATGTTGACATTTACTTGTGCCACCGATCATTCAAATAATATTCTGGGTCAGTTTTCATCACTCCATCTCATAGACAGTGTCTTAGTTACCTAATGCTGCTCTGACCTAAATACCACAAGTGGATAGCTTTAACAGACACTTCTGATTCTCTTGCAGTTTAGGAGTCTCTTTCTCTCTCCATGGGCTCTGTGGGAAGGTCCTTGTCATCTCTTAAAATGTGTGCCCGTGGAAACCCAGGAGGATCTCCATGCGTCTGCCGTCAGTCTTCCTCTGGGTCTAGGAGGTTCTCAGCACCAGGACTCCAGGTCAAAGGACGTGCTCTGCGCTTGCCTCCTCTTTCTTGGTGCTAAGCAGCCCCCTCTTTCTCTGCTCATTTTTCTCTCTTATTCTCTTACAAGAGATAAAAGGTGATGCACACTGCAATCCATGGGAGTTCTCCTTATATCGGAGCAGGGCGGTGACCTAGTGAGGCTGTTGTCTCCCACTCTAATCCACGTACAACTAATTGGGTGATCGCATCAGATCAGATCGTGCGGATGATTATATCGTTACTTAATTGACAAAAGACTAATAACCATGGCGATCTTAAGTTGGCACATATCTTGGCTCTGGGCTTCAACTCCACCTTCCTGACCACTGGGACAGCAACTCTAATCCCTTGACAACCACATTTTCTTAGTCTACCTTTGTAGAAGATCCTGTTCTTCTGCCCCTTGGGTAGGACAGCACTGCCCCTTCAGCTTTGGGCAGCAGCTCTGGCTGGACCCCTCTGGCATTACTGAATGGAAGCCAACATGAAGTTGGTGATCAGACTTTGAATCCCAGAAGGCTGTAGCCCCAACCCTTTAAGGCCTGAGAGGTCATGGCCCTTCCTTTGAGATCCCACAGGCCATGGATCCACCCTTTGGAACTGAAGCAGCTCTGCTTCCTGTATACCTTGTTTCTTCAGCTTCCGCTTCTTGGTTCCGTGGCTTCTTGGCCCCTGGGGCTTCTTGGGGCAGCCCAGCCTCTGCCTTGCTCAGGTGAGTGTCATAAAGTTCTTTGGCATTACTATAAGTACCCTGCGTGTCTACTCCTCCAGTAAGCCTCAGCCGGAAGTCACTCCGCTCCCTTGCTTGAGAGAGCAGCCAACCTAGCTCTGTCCACAAGTGTCCTGCAGGCACGTGGAGGAACCCGGCCCTTCCAGAAAGCCTCCTGCCTGGAGGTAGTCAGGCTCTCACTCTGGAAGTCAGCTCCCTTGCTTTCTGGAGTTGGGCTACTGCTTCTGCTCTTACAATTTCTTTGACGCTGCTTCTTCCCATCTATGTCCTCTTTGGTGTCCGAATCTTCAATCCCTTACGAACCCTCGCCAGAACTGCCTATGATGTCAATAATTCCACCAAAAGTCTCTTTATAGAGCCATTGAGGCATTTTAAAATTATTTTAGCTTCTACTTATGATCCAATGCTAAAATCGCTTCCACATTTGAGATGTCTGTTAGGTTGCTAACTGCAAGGGTGATAGTTCAAACCCACCAACTGCTCTTTGGGAGAAAGCTGAGGCTGTGTGCTTTCATAAAGAATTCGTCTCCAAAACCCTGTATAGTGTTGCGATGAGCTGGCATCAACTTGGTGGCAGTGAATTTGGTGTGACTGGGGTTCGCATTCCACATGTGGTAACAAATTCTGTCTTCATTACTGAGTGCTGATATCACAGAAATACCACAAGTAGATAGATTTAACCAACAGAAATTCATTTTCTCATAGTTCAGTGAGCTAGATGTCCAAATTCAGAGACTCCGCTCTACTGGAAGGCTTCCTCTGAGTCAGAGCTAGGAGATGGCCTGTCTCCTTTCAGCATCTGTGGGCCTGGAAGTGCCCTCGCATCAATCTCCTGGTCTGGTGCTCAGCACAGACTCGGGCTCCAGAGAATGCACACGACTCCTGGTTCTAACTTTCCTGGGGGCACTGAGCTCCTCCTTCTCGGTTTACCTCTCTCTCCGTTTAACTCCTGCAAGGTAAGAGGCTCTACAGGCCACACCTCAGGGAAATTCCCCTTGGATTGCATCCGGGCTGTGACCCGAGTAAAGGCCTTGCATGTTATCCGAACCCCACAGTAGCTGATTGACTGATGACATCAAATCACATAAAAAAGGATGATTACATCATTACATACTTGTCAAGTACCATCATTATGTAGCTGCCAAACCAAGAACCATAGCCTAGTCAAATAACATATTTTTTTGGAGGGGAAAGAACCGAATCTACAACAGAGAGGTCATTTTACATATTAATGAAGACTTTTAAAAGGCATGAAATAACACAATTTTCTTTATTTACAAAATGGAACATCATAAGGTACTAATTTATAGAAAGACACCACTATCTGAATAGCTATTCCTGGTATCAAATCCTAGAAATGAATGAGCTAAAGGGCCTGCCTAATATGCGTTAAACTGTATTCGAGTAAACCGTATTAGAGGGGACCCTATCTCATAGGACAGGGAGGTCTTTTGAAGATGGATAAAATAGTGGCAGCAGCTAAATGTGACCTGCAGTCCATACAGGCTATAAACAGACTGAGGCAGGCTCAGCATGTAGCGGGGCCTCGAAGAGGAGTCCTGGTGGTGCAGAGGTTCTGAACTCGGCTGCTAACAACAAGGTCAGCAGCCTAAACCACCAAGTGCACCCTGGGAGGAAGACAGAGCTTTCTATTCCCATGAGGAGTCACAGTCTTGGAAACTCCACAGTGGCAGTTCTACCTGGTCCAACGGATCACGAGGACTCACATCGACTCGACGGCAGTCAGCTATTTTTGTTTTTTGGGGGCGGGGGGGAGGGGGAGATTTATGCCAAGAAGATTGGCAGTGGTCAAGAGCGGGAAGAGAGTTCTCCTGGAGCTCCACACGCCTTTGACTACATGAAGAATGGAGTGTGTGCGTGCGTGTGAAGCCCTGGTGGTAATGTGTGCTATGCACTGGGCTGTTAGCCACAAAGCCAGCAGTTCAAACCCACCAGCTGCTCTGAAGCAGAACAAGGCAGTATGCTCTGGGAGAGGCTGGACAGCTTACAGAGCAGTTGTACGTTGTCCGATGGAGTGGTGACGAGTCAGAACCAACTAGATGGCAGTGGGCCTGGTTTTGAAGGAGGAGAGATGGCTACTCCCACCACAGACATGTCTGTAGAGAACAGAGAGCTCACTAAATTGTACATCAGACCAAGTACCTTTCTGTTTTTCCCGGTAGCATGGTCAGATATCCTTTCAGGCCAAGCAGCCGCTTTCAAAACCACTGCCAAGTCTGAACGGCTCAAATTAGGAATGGGGCGCCCTGCTTAGAATATAGCGGGCCTTCCCTCTCAGGGATGATCCAGAGAAGATGCCGGAGGAAGATGAGGCAGAAATGCTGGGGCCAAGAACTCCAAACTTTGTGGCTGTTGGGATTAATTCTGTTCCATGCTATTGCTTTACATCAAAACATCCCTGGGTGGTGGTGTGACAATGATGGCTAGGAATGATTCTGATCATCAAAAGTGGTCCATTATCTCGATCATTCTCCATAGTCTCCCTGCAACATGGAAAAGAGTATTCTTCTAGGCATTTTCCCTATTCTAAGAGAGGGGCAGTGGGGGTGGCTGCACACAACAGGGAGGCCCCTCCAGCACCACGGCCCTAATGACCAGCTCAACGTGGCGCGGTACCCCAGCTGACCTTTGATGACACCAAACATGTCAAGCTCACGCCAGATGCACGTCTGTCAGCCTGTGCCATTTTGTTTTGTTTTGTTTAATAGATGGGCTTATTTACTCAAGGCTCTATTTTATTGTTGACTGGATTCAAACTTAGAGGTGGAAGCCCTCAGCGAGGGCAGCCTCGTCTCTTGGCAGTCTGTTCCTGCCCTTTCTCTTTGGCCTCCTTCATTCTCTTGGCCAAAGTTTGGCGAATTCGGCGGCCTCCTCCAGGTTTTTCTTGGTGCACTGCTTCTGCATGGCAATGCGCGGGCGGAGTCACAAAACGCTGAATCTTGGGCGCTTTGGTCCGGGGTTTCTTGCCTTCTTTGTTCAGGGGCTTTCTCACAACATACTGGCGGACCTCATCTTCTTCTTTTTTTTTAACCGTACTCCCCTATCCAACCGTGGCTGCCACAGGCAGGCAGACAGAAAGCGCGAGAGATTTTCTCTTGCATCTGTAGGAAACCTTAAGAGCAGACAGTAACTGCTCCAGGTCTGTCAAATAGATGCTTAGAGGTCATCTTCTTCAGAGAGATTGAAGAGTTTGCGGATTCTGCTGGCTCTTTGGGGCCCCAGGTGACCAGGCACAGGTGTGTCAGTCAGTCCTGGGATCTCTTTCTCCCCTTTCTTTACGATAACCAGGTTGAGAGCGTTCACACTGGCCTCCACAATGCAGCCCCGGAGAGATTTGCACGTCCTCCCCCCAGTTCTCCTTGGTCTATAGCAGGAGTGGCCCTTACTCAGCAGCTAGCGGACACGGCCGTGGGTCAAGACACCTTGCTTCACGGGAAAACCTTGCTTGTCATTCCCACGGCTGATGCGGACCACCTAGCCCTTCCACTCATCTCCCAGCGCCTCGGTGGCAACTCCCGCGGCCATTCGCTTCTCATAAAAGGTGCGAAGTCTGCATACATCGTCCACATCAATGAGATCCTGGCAGCCAGTGGCTGGGAAGGAGATGGTCAGCTTCAGGGTGATGCCACGGAAGAGAGGCAGCCCGTGCCATCTTATTCTCCTTGGGAGCAACCTCCACACTAGGTTTTTCACCCTGTGCTTTTACTTTTTATGTGCTTTTAGTTCTCAGACTGATACATGGCGCTGGGCAAGAATATATGATGCTTTCTTTTGAGCTGTTGTTGAAGCCTTTCTGGTTTTCATTTTTTAAAATTACCTACACATGCTCCTTAAAAGTTTTTAAAAGAACATCTTCATTCTTTATTTCCCCCCTAGCTCTTCTTCCAAATATTTAAGCTAACAATGATCACACTTAATACTCTCAAAGGATTTAAAAAGGCTGTTGGTTGGACAAATGAGAACCTTAGACTGACAGAGTCCAGAGGAAACGTACCGTCGACTGATTCAGCCTCTCTTCTCAAACCGGATACTTCACAGGCTGCCGTGGAGACAAGTCACAGCCAGGGGCTGCATCTGAGCAGAGCAACCAGCTACTCAGCCAGCTCTCTGCTTCCTCTGTGCTTAAAACCAGGCCCCAATACCACACCAGAGGCTCTCAAGTGGTGGCAACCTGAGCAGCTTTCCAAGTTGATCCATTTTTGAAGTAGATGGCCAGGCCTTGCTTGTGAGGCACTCCCGGGAGAACTCAAACCACCAATCTCGCAGTTTCGAGTGTGGTAACCTTTTGCACCACAAAGGACACTGTGTGTTTAAGAGGGGTGGAGGAGGGGGAAGTCAGTCAGGAAAAACTGATACATCTACTTACCTTAGTCCTAGAGGAATTTACGTGATCAGAATGCATGATACACATATCTAATAAGCTCCACGGGCAGTGAGGAGGCGTGTTTGTATTAGGGATGAATTATCTGGGGCAGAGGAGGGGCCAGTAAAACTTCTAAAAGGAAAGATTACCTTTGCCACAGTTTACGCCTTTGGAACAGCTCCCTGTCTTGAGAGTGCTGCTGAGGAAGAGAAGGAGCCGAGGAGAACAGAGTCTGCATACTTACGAACTTGAGGAGGAGCGTGTTTTCTCGGAGCGCGCCAATGCACCCTGCGAATCCCAAAATGAACATCACTCCGCCCACCACAAGGAAGAGCCAAACGGGGTCAAAGCCGCCAAGGTCGGTGATGGAAGAGATGTTGGACAGGACTCCCTGGGGGAGAAAAGAACACAGGACAAGGCCGGGGACCAGGGGTCAGTTTTCTAACAGGTAAGGGTTATTGCACTTGACTTCCAAAACATACCTCATGGACAGGCTGATTGCCAAGAGTGATTAACACTTGGAAGACATCAGAATGGAGGAGAAAGAGGAGGAGGAGGAGGAGAAGAGGGAGAGGAAGAGGAGGGGATGGGGGAGAGAAAGGGAAGGGCAAAGAAGGGAAGGAGGAGGTTTCTTTAGTCGACCTTTACTAAGACACAGAGTAAACGTGATCTGCACGGTTTCCTTGGGTAATCTGTACAGAAGCAGAATGCCAGGTTTCCCTTCTACAACATGGCTGGGTGGGTTCGAAGAGCCCACCTTCAGGTTTGTAGTTGTGTGCTAACCATTTGTGCTATTCTGGTAGAGCAGTGGTTATGCATCAGGCTGGTAGCCAGAGAGTCAACAGTTCAAAGCCACCAGGTTCTATGTGGGAGAAAGATGAGGCTTTCTCCTTCCATAAAGAGTTACAGCCTCAGAAACCCACAAGGATAGTTCTACCCTGTCCTTTGGACTTGTGATGAGTTGGAATCACCTTGCCAGCAGGAAGTTTGATTTCATTTGGATGAATCTATATGATAATATACCACTAGAACATATACAAAGAAAAGTTAGAGATCTCTTAAAACATATGACTTACACCCCCCCCACGATCCCCTGGGGGTGGGGGGGAGTGGTCATGGGTTTAAATAAATTCTCCAATGAATGGCTTAGAGGTCTCTAAAGCAGTAATGAATGCAGGATGTGCTCACTAACTGCTGAAGTGATGCCCTTTTCATTACAGATGCCCTTTCACAAAACTGCATGAACCAATGGTATAAGCCATTTTTATGACCCTTAGATTTCCAAGCTCTGAATGTGAAGACTCAGTTCAGGAAGGGAAAGGCAGAAAGAAAACACAGAAACACTCCAGCCAACATTCCACGTAGCCAATGGTATTAAGAAAAAAAATGCCAGAAGTCAGACAGAAACCAAGCAATATTAGTGAAAGTCCAATATTGACGGGAAACTAAGCATCCCCGCAGAATGCCTTTAAACATAGGCATTCCATACATGCAGCCTTCATGGCTTAGACTTTGTTCAGTCAGGAGGAGAGGAGGGGGAGGAGGTGAGGAAGGTGGAACTGATGGCAATGATCCACACATAACCACACACCCCTCCGCCAGCGGACGGACAACAGAAGCCATGGGGGAAGGGAAGACAGCGGTCGGTGTAAGGCATGAAAAAAATAATAACATATAATTTATCAAGGGGTCTCGAGGGTGAGAGCGGCGAGGGAGGGTAAAAAGAGGAGGTGATACCAAGGGCTCAATAGAAAGTAAATGTCTAGAAAGGAATGATGGCAACATATGTCCAAATATGCTTGATAAAATTGATGTATGGATTGTTATGAGGTGTAAGAGCCCCAATAAAATGATTCGCAATAAATATATATTAGAATAAATCATAGTAAATAAAACTGCTGTGGTTGAAAAAATCTATATTAACAGTTTTATTGGCATATAACCCACATATCATTTAATTCAATAGTTTAAACATTTTAAAAAGACTTGTACAATCATCACTACAATCAATTTTAGAACATTTTCTTCTTTCCTGTATTCACGATTTTAGCTCTCCATTTCCCTCAACTCCCCCTGCCTTAACCTCAAGAAACTACTAATCTAGTTTTTGTCTCCACAGATTTACATATCCTATATTTCATATAAAGCAGTGGTTCTCAACCTGTGGGTCACGACCCTTTCACAGAAGTCGCCTAAGACTATCAGAAAACATATTTCCAAGACCCAGCGTGAAGACTGTTGCCCATGCTGCACCATGTTTCAAGACAAAATGTCAATTATTTGAAATTAGAAATAAGTATTTCACAATGTATAATTACATATTGTTTTTGTGATTAATCACTATGCTTTAATTATGTTCAATTTGTAACAATGAAAATACATCCTACATACTAGATATTTACATAATGATTCATAACAGTAGCAAAATCACAGTGAAGTAGCAATGAAAAGAATTTACAGTTGGGGGATCACCACAACATGAGGAACTGTATGAAAGGGTCGCGGCATTAGGAAAGTTGAGAACACTGATATAAAGGAAAGTGTACAAAAACAAAAATCAAAACAAAGAAAACCCCCAATAACAATGAAATAAAATGTAGAAAAATCTCAGTTGAAAAGCTAACAGAAAATAATAAAAACTAGAACAAATTTAAAATGAGTACAAAGGGAAACCAAATAAGGTGCTAAATAACAATGAATATGAGAAGAAAATGTTCTGAAATTGATTGTGGTGATGATTACAAAACTCTTCTTAATATGATTGAATGAATAAATTGTATGATATGTGAAGCATATGCCAATAAAACTACTTTTTAAAAGGAAAAAAAAAAAAAAAAAAGAAGGTGCTAAATGTTAACCCAACTACATGTGTGCGATTCCCCTTTCCAAGGCACTGTCTGACAGCAAGGCTGGTCCCATCCCTAGACTATAGATTAGACAGAGAGGACTCATCCGAGACTTCACACATGTGGGATACAGCACACTGATTTTGGGCTTTCACTGTCATCCGTAGCCTTCGGCAAACTGGTGCTCAGCATTTAAGCGAGAAGAAAAGGCTTTTGCAGGTACATACCATTCTCAAAAGCTGCAAAGCTGCTTGAATTACACGAGCAGAAGCAGACCCAATTTAGTGGCACCACAAAGAAGAGAATCCAGAGACAAGTGACTGGGCCAGATGCCATTTCTCCAGAAAAGGGCATCTCGAGGACCCCTAGGCTATCAGAAATGGATTGGAGAGGGTTTCCCCGAGGAAGGTGGAAGGGAAGTTCTTCCTCCCTCCGAAACCCTGAAGCTGTGACCATTTGTCAGCCATGCTCTGGGAGGGATCCCAAATTAGATGAGGCACTGGGACTTAATGACCATGAGGATCCTAACTGGAAGACTCTTCTGTGATGTTCTTCTTGGTGACTCCAATCCGAACCTGAGCGACGCACACAGACTGGGGGATAAGAAGGCCAATTATCTGGACAAACTCAGGTCAGCCAAGCAAATGAATGACTCCTTCCTCCTCAAAGGGCAGAAAGGGTAGAATCCCGACTGCCAGTGGATTCCAGGATCATTCGTCCTTTCTGGTTTCAATTTGGAGGATGAGGATTTGGCTTTTCAGACAAATTTATTTTAATACTTACTCTCCCCAGCCTGCAGGGGCCGTTTTAATTGAGAGGCCTTCAACTGTTTCCATAGAAACAGTGATTTGGAGGTCTAACTGGACTGCAGATTCTACTCATTGAATCCTAAATTCTGGCAAAACATGGGTTGGAAACAAGATACTGAGAACCTGGGGAAATAATATTCTGCAAAGCATAGAAAAGACTACCGAGAACATTATTTTTAATACATTCAGAACATACCCAGGTAGTTATCAGCTGAGAACGAATGCAAGTCTGAAGTACAGCGCTCCCTCCCACCCGCTGCTTTTCCAGGGGATCCGAGGGAAATGTAACCAAGAGTCTCTCTTCTCACCTATGAGAAGCACCCCAATAACCAGGCAGAGCAGTCTTACTACTTCTGGCTACACAGAGAGATCAAACGCGGGCACGGCTGACTGTGACCCTGAGAACACTGACTGGCTTACCCTCCATCACTGCTCCCCAAAGATGGGAACCGGAAGTACAGATTTCTGTTGTCTTAAGGATGGCGGGGAGGTGGGGCTGTCTCTCACATGGACTTCTTAATTTCGTTAAACTCAACCTGACAAATGGGTAGGAAGCACTAGCGTCTGCTGAAGAATAATCAGAGTTAACGTTGGTAGTTGACAAGAAGCTGGAAGGAGGAAAAAAACCAGCTTCAGGTTACAGTGAAGTCTGTCAAGTGGATTTTCAACAGGCACTCAGAGTGCTGGTAGATCCTCGCGCCGCATAAGCACACACCTCTCCTGGGACTCTCCGGCAGCACCCTGTCCTTCTGGGAACTGTACCCCCCTTCTTGAAGGATACCTTCTTCCATAGCAGCCCCACCCCACCCCCAGTTCACTCCATGACCCCTGCTGAGCTGTCATTATTCGCACAGGACCCATGGCCCTCCAGATAGCTGGGCCTTACAGCAGGCCTCTCCAGAGGCTGAAGCGATACAAATTGGGAGCTGTGTGTAGCCTGTTTCCCTGCCGTGTGGAGAAAGTCTGTCTGCAAGGAGAAACTGAAAGGTAGTGCTTTGGTGGGTCTGAGGTACTGACTTACCAAGCTAGGAGGTGAGGTTTAAGCACTGTGCTTCGAGGACTCTCTGAAGAGGGGCGGGGAGAAAAGAGCCCCTCAGCCCTGTGATCCCTGGTCCACAGTCATTCCTGAGGCCTGTCCTGGAGTTTGGTGAGTCACCCCAGAATCCTTATAACACCCCGCCTTGAGTGCTTGCACCGGCACCATTTGGGTCTGCATTTGCACCTGAGGAGTCTCTCAGAGCACAACAGTAGCTTTGAATACACTTTGCTTTTGTGTCGGCCACCCACACACAAAAAACCAAAACCCTCAAACTATCAAAGCTCTCAGCACATGCTGGGAAAAAAGAGTGGGAGCAGGGAAGCAGTGGGGGCCAGTAGAGAAGGGGTGGAGCTGGGGAGTGCACTTCAAAGCGCCCCTTTTAAAGTCAACAGGGCCATAATGCCAGTGTCATCAACAACATTGACATTAAGGGGTTTAAACTGGACAACTGACAAAGAATACATCCTTGAGTGCCCATTGTGTTTCAGGACCAGTTTTTTAAAACTTGAATTTACTGAAGAAAACAACGACGACAACAAATGTCTCATCTGCGAGTGTCTCCAGTACCTACAAATGCTGTTCATGCCAGAAATAAGCACCCTGGGCTGACGCGTGCATCTAGGGTGAACGACAGCAGGCTACTGGACACTGTGGGTGAATTCAGACAGCTGAGTCGAATAGGAATAGGATAAATGGA